GTCCGTGTGAATTGAATGCTGACAGGAGGAGAGTTCAGCTTCACTGAGACGCGCGATCGACAAACTTTAAACTCGTGATTTTAAATTATGCTGCGCTTTATGCATTTGCCCACTGCCATATTCATGTCATTTTCACTGTGTGCTGTATGTAAAATGAGTGTTACCTTGGCTTTATTTGAAAAAAATATGATTCCCAAATCCCAATGCAGACAAACTTCCCAGAATACTGAGTGCCCTGTTGGTTACAGTGTTTACTTCCTTTTTTATTATATTATTTATAAAATATTTATTTATTTGTGAAAAATACTTTGTCATCTAAAGGTTTATTTAGTTTATTTAACACATTTACTTTTTAATCCATTTTCAAATTATTTCAAATTTCTTAAACATTAATTAAAATAAATAAAATTATATCGGCTTTATATCGGCCACCCAGCTTTCCAAGACATCGGCATCGACTGTCAAAAAACCAATATCGGTCGACCACTAACCAAAGAACTCTGCATTCCTGTCATTCACAAAGTTCCACACATTGCACACAACTCGCATGTTTGTCTGTTCTGACTAATTTTATTATTTTAGCTACCAATAAGAGAGTGAAACTCTTAGCTCCATTTTACACATTTTATCATGTTTATCTACTCATAAACCCCAGAAATCAATGTAGACAATGCAAAAACGTCTGGAGAGTAACATACGGTCATACTACTCTTACTACATTTGCCAAAATGTGTAGTATACTACATAGGTTAATGTGTGGAATACTGTATCTCACAATGCAATCTGCTTGACTTATCCTATCATCTCCAATGTGATGGATGAACTGTTAGTAAACAGTTCTCGAAATTCTCTGTTCTTGAGTAGGTACTTTTTTTGAATAAGTAATTACTTTGCGACCACAAAAAGAGTACATTCTATATAGCATGAATGTGTGTAGTATGAATTTAATCAGGGCTGTATTCCAGAAAGCAAGGTTAACATACCGTCACATAAACGCTGAACTCTCTGGAACAGGTTATGTTCATAGAATAAGTTGCAATTACTTGCATACCCTGAGAGTTACCTCTGTTTTTGGAACCAAAAGCTGAGTTTATCTGCTTATACTTACCCTTAAACATACCCATAACCTGCTTTCTGGACTACCTCCCTGGATGTACTACTTTCACCATGTTGTCACTGTCATGTGACCTACCAGCGTCACATAACTGCCATTCATAAATCATTATTAAGTAAAGCGTCCATCGTATGCACACTTCAGAATCACGCCGGAAGCAGTAGGTTATCCAGGTATTTTTTGCCCACTCTTTTGTAAGTTTTTTTTTATTATTATTATTAATTGTATATGCTGAACAATTAACATTCAAAAGTATAACAAAAGGTTACAAACATGGTGTTCACCACTCTTTTGTAAGTACTGTGAATTTTAACATACTTCTTTCGTCACATACTGTAGTAGGGAAGTATGCCATTTCGGATGCAGCCTGAGTTTTACCATCTCTTTCTTAGCTTATTTCATCAGCCTGCCAAATGTCAAAAGACATTTTACATGAAATTTATAAATGCCCTATTTATTTCCAGAATGGTAACTGAAATGTCACTCATTAAATACGCAATATGATGAAATTATATGCATAGCATACTGTTTAGTGTGGAATTTCACTTACTACTTAAAAAAAAAAAAAAAAACATCAGTATATAGCCTACTACCCAGTATTCAGTAAATAAGAGCAATATTCCACTCAATGGCATAAATAAATAATGTTCATACTATTGCTGTTGCATACAGTATATAGACAGTATGTAGGCTAATGCGAACAGTGACCATTTTTTCTGTATGACCTTTGAATTTGCCAAAAATATGCCGTTGTCTCCACAACCACGACTGTATACCGTGTATAATGCATTGTGCAGTACTAAAATACTGTGAGGTATGCAGTTGTTTGAAATAAATGGCTGCTGCTTTGCAGTCATCGACAGTGTTTTGTGTGAAGATACCTCAAAGTAGCTGTCAGTGAGCTTTTTAGTGCCTTCACGCTTCCGCAAACTCCAGCGTCCTCGTGTTGCTCACTCGGCATCAGCCCGGAAATATCCGAAAAGAGCCGAGCCCGTTGCATTCTGGGAAAATGAAGACTGGAGTCTGTCGCCATATTGTTTGATTCCGCAGATTCACTGGAGCAGAAAGCAACAAACACTCTCATTAAACAGGCTAATATTGAACAATTACACAGGTAACCGTCATATAAGATTACATGAGGTCGTTGCAGACCGTACTGCATTCTTAAGACCATCTTTAGCGGTGTCAGTCGGATTTATTCGTGCAGAATATGGGTCGCTCCCGGAGCCGCAGCGCGTCCCGATCCAAACACCATAAACACAGCCGCAAACGGAGTCGCTCCAGATCCAAATCCAGCAAGAAAAGGAGCAGGTCAAAGGAACCGAAGCGGAGCAGAAGGTCCCGCTCGAGGTCAGGCAGCAGGAGGGACAGAGGTGGCTCACCCCCCGGCCGAACGGACATGTTCGGCCGCACACTGGGCAAGAGAAACACCGACGAGAAACAGAAGAGAGAAGAGGAGGAGAGGAGAGCAGAGACAGAGAGACAAAGGAAGATGTAAGATAACTTTATGTCGTACTATATTTATGGAGAGGCCGCTTTACTCAGGCACTTATGTCTAGATTAAGTATCACTTAGTCTGGACAACACCATCACTTCTGTTACATACTTCAAGATCAACTCTTTGTTGTTTAATATTGATAAGAACCTAATATACTTAGCTAGTGTGCAAGAAGTGACATGTTTCATGTTACCAATCTGTATTCAGTGAACCTTCACCACTCTTTGGACTCTCATAGGCAGCTGTCACACATCAGGTCATCTCATCACTGAGATCTGCTGGCCATGTTAGATGATACGTCTTTGTATCTATCACAGATTGTTGACATCTTTCTTTTGTGATTGGAGACCACCGGTATAATGTTAAGAGGTTCGGGGAAGAGAAGGAAAGGGGGTTTCTAGTGAAAGAACAGGAAGAGAAGTGCTGCAGCCCCAGGCTTGAGCTTCACCCCGAGTACATTGTAACCGCATTCAGGGTGTTTTAAAACTCAAAGAGAGGCCCTGGATCAAGTTTCGTGACACTGAAATCAAATCAAAAGATGGCTGCTGTTGTTAGATTTTTGTTTTGGCTCTGGCCAATGTTATGGTCACTTGGTTCAGTATTGTGTCTGTGTTTTTGTGTTCCTTCTTAAGGCCAGGTGTGACAGCTTGCTCTCCTCTAATGGTTTAGTCATGCTTAAAGTGTAAATAAAGTTGAAACATGCTTTTGTAATCATGGCCTCCCTTTGAGTGGCATATTTTCCTGTGGGTTTATGATGTCACAGCGTGCCGTGCACAACGTGTTTTGTTTTAGAATTGTGCAGATCACAGGTGGAGCCTATCAGTATCATCTGCCTCTTCCTCAAGGATCAGCAAAGCATTTTTGTGCAATGCAAAATGTAGCCTAACATTTGGCTTTCTGTGACAACTGGTTTGCAAAATTAAGCACATTTCGCAAACCAAATTCCACAGAAATCCATGTTTCTTTTGTTTTTATGTTAGCTTTTTAAACACGTTAGCAAAGGTTATCAAACTGGCTAACATAAATGAGCCTTTGGTTAAATTGCATTGATGATTTGATAGCAAGTGCTGGTTTTTATGACTATCTTGGAGTTTCCTTCTATGATTATAACTATAATTTATGGCTATAATTGCAAATTTTCTTTGTAAAAAAACACATTTGTTAAAAATGTTCATTTTAAATGTGTGAAAAATCATTTCATACATTTAAAGGAAACTAAATGTTTTCCAAATCATTAACAAATAGCTAAATACACAATTGTAATCCTACAGTAACCTTTTCTGACAAAATAATTAACAAATACACAAAAATAGTATTAAATTTCAATATTAAATAAAATATTTTTAAATAGTATCTAATTTGAATTATTATTTAAAAATGAGAAAAATGTAAGTTATAAAAAGAAAAAATTGAATTAATCAATTTTGCTTTCAATTTTTAAATGGGGGGCCATTAAAAATGTTGTCAAGGCAGTAGGCAGGGAACTACTGGCCTGATTGTGCAAACACATTAATTATTTACTGTTAGCCCTGATTATGATGATTTATTTACTAAATTTTTTTTAATCATTGTGTATAATTTAAGGGCTTGCTGATGCAAAAAAAAACTGCAATGTTTGATCCTTTCTTTCTTGTGTCCTCCGCAGCCGTCAGCAGGAGATTGAGGAGCGTCTGATTGAGGAGGAAACGGCGAGGCGCGTGGAGGAGCTCGTGGCACGGCGTGTAGAGGAGGAGCTTGAGAAGCGGCGTGATGAGATCGAACATGAGGTCTTGCGGCGGGTGGAGGAGGCAAAGCGCATCATGGAGGCACAGCTTTTGCAGGAGCTAGAGAGGCAGAGGCAGGCCGAACTGAACACCCAGAAAGCCAGAGAGGTAACGCTCGGTCGTTCGGAACACAGCGGAGCTCAGCCGCAAACAGCACACGCGCAGCTGTGGCACAACTTAACAATCGTTTCCCCCCGAGATATAGCAGTGGATGCAGGGTAGCTCGATTGATTGGGTGGGGAATAAAATTAATTACAAAATGCAACTTTTTCAAGGTGTGATATAATGCTTGGAGCACTTCAGTTGAGCTGCTGTCTAGGGAACACTTATATTTAAGGACATTGGATGATGGAGTCCTCATTTACTCTGTTGACAGACAAGCTCTGCACTTTTTCTGTAATACATCAACGTGATTTTATTGAATCGCACACACCTCTAGTGCACTCTTGGGGGTTTCAAGTGAACGTTTTGCCACGGCTGTGATGGACCAATATTATGTTTCCCATCTTTTCTCTACCCTTTTATTTTCCACCCCTACCCTGCTCTCTTTACTCATATATTTTTATCATTTTACTGTCACCAGTGTATGAAACGTTGTCTTCAATAAAATGATTTTCTTAAAAAGGTCACTCGGCATTCAAACCATGCCTGTTTTTGTTCTTGAGCTTTCAGTGTGAACATCCACCATTATACACTTTGATAGGTCAAGACGTAATGTTGTTTTGGATGTTACAAACACATAAGACCTTTTGTAGCCGCACTTTAACTAGTTAATTTGCTAAATCCATATCTTGTAATTCCACCCATACCATAAAGGAGGGTTACTGTGCTCTAATTGTAAAGACACAATGAGTTATGAACGAGAAACTAATTCCATTCCACAAGCACACACAAAATCCAGCGGCTCAGCACTAATAGGGTTAGTTATGTGCCCTCCTTCTGTACATTTTAGATTTATGCCCATCATCTGTAGCCCTGGTACTGAACCATTAAATGAATCTGTATTGTTGTAGATTTAGCATTTGCACATAGGATAATTTTGTCTTCATTTGCACCATCGATCACAAAACACTCTACCCTTCCCTTTATTGCTCATCCATTTCTGTCGTATGTGTTTTATATTTATTAATTGCCGATTTGTTTCTTAGATTTCTAACATTTTTCCTTTGACTCTTCTGTTTTGACGTCATTAAAGTGCAGTGATTTAAATGTACTTTTGTGTCCTCACAATTTGCTTTCCCTCAGGAGTGCTGCTGTATGGGTTCACACACATACGCTAAAACACACAGACACACACTACAACATCCACACTCAACGCTACTGTACCATTGAGCTTAGACGCCAACACATCACTGTTTTTGTTTTCAAACAAACACATCTAATGAATGATCCCACCTTTGTGTTTTTGCAGTCTTTAACATCGTTTAATGTTAATAGCCTGACGTCCCCACACGGTAATGTTGTATGATTAACATAATTCATTTTCCTGGACTGTGCTACATACTGCATGTGGTGTTGCTGTGTAAGAGCACTAGCTCGTGCTAGCAGCTCAGAAATGTTTAAAGGGGAGGTGCTGCGCTGTCCAGGACGGGACACGGGACCAGGCAGTAAATACTCACCCCTTTAATCAGCAGTTGTGTAGGTACAGTACACAGTCAAAGGAGAAAGGCGTAGGTATACGAGCATTGGTGAGCCACTACTATTCACTCTCTCCTTTGTTTAAGTTAATCTTTCTTTGTCTCTCTCATTTTCTTTTGAAGCTTTTTGCTTATGGATGCTGATAAATTAAAAAAAAAAAAATAATCGAGAGAGAACGAGCTGATTGATTTGTTTTTTTTCCTTTTTCATCTGCAAACGAATGAGATTCTTCGTTAGTTGTCGATGTGTTGTCTTTACATACCTGTTCTGTATGGATGTTAATGAATGCGTAAATGGATGTTTGGATGTGTATTTACATATAACGTGGTGGGGATTAAAGGTGTGACTGAATACATACATCCATGGGTGGGTTTTTTTGCTCATTGTTGCATACATAGAGGTTAGCTTCAGACATTTGATGCTGCAGATCGGAATGTGAAATGTGGCGAGCGTGTGAAAGCGAGTGAGAGAGACTGTGTGAGTGTCGCTGGCTGGTACCTGTTTGTGCGAGTGTAGACGTGTTTGACTGCAACTGGGGGACTTATTTCAGTGGATTTGTCTCCCCACCCTAACGTGTCACCGTGTCACTCCTTTAGGAGGAAGAAAAATCCAAACGAGAGGAGCTGGAGAGAATTTTGGAAGAAAACAACCGAAAGATTGCTGATGCTCAGGCTAAGCTGGTATGTATTTCTATGTTTTATTTTGTCAACAAAACAAGAAACAAAAGCCAAACATAACAAAATGTGAATGTACACAAAACAAAATGAAATGTAATAGTCAATGAGTATGCTTCTACATCATGCTCTCTCAGTGGGGTGTATTTAGATTTGTCTGCACGAAAAGTGTCTTTTTGTTATGCATGACAAGGTTCCCATAATTATAGAAAAACAGAAATTAGGGTCACAATATAAAATTTGAACTGCACTATTATTGTGGTCAAAAGAATTAACAATTATGATATTATTGTAATATCTATAGAAATTTTGAAAAAAAAATGTTTTATGAATGGTGGCAACTAAAGTTATTGCCATGTACTATATTGGAGTGTCAACCATATAGTGGCTGTTGAATTATTTATGATGTAATTGTATGTGTAGTATTAACATGTTATCAATATGTCCTTTTTTTTAAGTATCACGGTTTCTCAGGAAATGTTGATATCCAGACCTGAAAAACTCATAGGAACTGGCAAAATCTAAAAAGTCTTAGAAAGTTCTATAGTGAGTAATAATATTCTTTTAAATATTTAATTGACTTAGAAATAGTTGTGAGTGCAGTCTCTAAGAAATTGTTAAAAGTTCTTATCCAATGATAAGTGCTAATCTGGAATAGTCATGGAAATTCATTGATCAAAAAGGGGAGGGAACCCTGATATACACTGTTCCATGCAGAGATCAAGCCAGTGGATTAATATTGAATCCTAAGTACAATGATAATTAAAAGCTCTAATGTTAGTTTTGACAACACATTTGTGGCGATACTTTGGTGTTTGTGTTTATACGTTTCAAGGTCATTAGAATTGTGGCATTTTGTGTTACTATAAAGTCGCTCTTCCTCAAAATGGCCAGAAAATGTTTACCCTCATGGTTTTGATTTGAAATGTTTTGATGGTTTTTACTGTGTCAAGTCATTGTGAATGCTCAAGTGTTTTTTTCCACTTGCGTAGTGCTAGTAGAACCTGCCCTCTCTGAAATGTTTGAAATGTTCTGAACTTACAAAATGAATGCTTGTCAATGCCCACATTTTATGTATATGGTAGTACTGAATACAGTGAACATTGTTTTGTTTTTTCATTAGTACATACTGTTCTGTTAATTACGGTACATTTTTAATGTATTAGTGGATCAAAAGATCTAAAGTGTACCTGTTTGTCTTGGCTGATTGAAAAAGTCACTTTTGCTCATGTGTTTGTTTGATTGTTTCAGGCTGAGGATCAGCTACGTATAGTGGAAGAACAAAGGAAGATCCACGAGGAACGCATGAAGCTAGAGCAGGAGAGGCAGAAACAACAGAAAGAGGAACAGAGGATGATTCTGGGGAAGGGCAAGTCCCGACCTCGCCTCTCCTTCACTCTCAAAGCTACAGAGTGACTTCTCTTCTCTTCTCTTCTGATGTGTGCTTCATGTTGAAGTGAATCAGAGTCCCAAAGAGAGGTCTGCCCTGTGCTCTCTGCCCACATAAATTACTCTTCGAAAACCCAGGAAAATCTCACGCTTCAAAACCGGACTTGCAGGCACCACCACAGACTTGCAGATCAGCTGCCGCCATCTGCTTTTTTTTTTCAGTGTGTCGTATTGATATTTGACACCGTTATGCTGGATGCACCTTCAGAAACAGCCCCCCCCCAATGGCAAGCAAATAAGAATGAATACGTGTAAATATCTGTGTATATGAGTGTGCATGGCTGGTTGGTCAATATATATCAGTGGTTTGGGAGCTCTGTTGGTACAAGCTCAGTTTAACTACTGTTCTTGCGTTCAAAGCATAGGGGAAGTACACCAAAATGTTTTGAAAAATGTAAATTGGCAGACTTTGTTTTGTGCTTATTAGTGAATGTATGTGCAGGAGTGTGTGAGAGCATTTCATATTTTTTAGATCCCGGACTGAACACCTCAAAACATAGAGTTTCTAAAATGCTGCTTAACACATTGTTCCCATAATCACCTGATATGAGCTGCGTTTATAGCATTGGGCTGTGATGGACCAATATTATGTTTCTCATCTTTTCTCTCCCCTTTTATTTTCCACCCCTACCCTGCTCTCTTTACTACTCATATCTTTTAGCGTTTTACTGTCACCAATGTATGAAACTGTTTGTCTTCAATAAAACGCTTTTCTTAAAAAAGGTCACTCAGCATTCAAACCAGGCCTGTTTTTGTGTATGAGCTTTCAGTGTGAACATCCACCATTATACACTTTGATAGGTCAAGACGTAATGTTGTTTTGGATGTTACAAACACATAAGACCTTTTGTAGCCGCACTTTAACTAGTTAATTTGCTAAATCCATATCTTGTAATTCCACCCATACCATAAAGGAGGGTTACTGTGCTCTAATTGTAAAGACACAATGAGTTATGAACGAGAAACTAATTCCATTCCACAAGCACACACAAAATCCAGCGGCTCAGCACTAATAGGGTTAGTTATGTGCCCTCCTTCTGTACATTTTAGATTTATGCCCATCATCTGTAGCCCTGGTACTGAACCATTAAATGAATCTGTATTGTTGTAGATTTAGCATTTGCACATAGGATAATTTTGTCTTCATTTGCACCATCGATCACAAAACACTCTACCCTTCCCTTTATTGCTCATCCATTTCTGTCGTATGTGTTTTATATTTATTAATTGCCGATTTGTTTCTTAGATTTCTAACATTTTTCCTTTGACTCTTCTGTTTTGACGTCATTAAAGTGCAGTGATTTAAATGTACTTTTGTGTCCTCACAATTTGCTTTCCCTCAGGAGTGCTGCTGTATGGGTTCACACACATACGCTAAAACACACAGACACACACTACAACATCCACACTCAACGCTACTGTACCATTGAGCTTAGACGCCAACACATCACTGTTTTTGTTTTCAAACAAACACATCTAATGAATGATCCCACCTTTGTGTTTTTGCAGTCTTTAACATCGTTTAATGTTAATAGCCTGACGTCCCCACACGGTAATGTTGTATGATTAACATAATTCATTTTCCTGGACTGTGCTATATATACTGCATGTGGTGTTGCTGTGTAAGAGCACTAGCTCGTGCTAGCAGCTCAAAAATTTTTAAAGGGGAGGTGCTGCGCTGTCCAGGACGGGACACACGGGACCAGGCAGTAAATACTCACCCCTTTAATCAGCAGTTGTGTAGGTACAGTACACAGTCAAAGGAGAAAGGCGTAGGTATACGAGCATTGGTGAGCCACTACTATTCACTCTCTCCTTTGTTTAAGTTAATCTTTCTTTGTCTCTCTCATTTTCTTTTGAAGCTTTTTGCTTATGGATGCTGATAAATTAAAAAAAAAAAAATAATCGAGAGAGAACGAGCTGATTGATTTGTTTTTTTTCCTTTTTCATCTGCAAACGAATGAGATTCTTCGTTAGTTGTCGATGTGTTGTCTTTACATACCTGTTCTGTATGGATGTTAATGAATGCGTAAATGGATGTTTGGATGTGTATTTACATATAACGTGGTGGGGATTAAAGGTGTGACTGAATACATACATCCATGGGTGGGTTTTTGTGCTCATTGTTGCATACATAGAGGTTAGCTTCAGACATTTGATGCTGCAGATCGGAATGTGAAATGTGGCGAGCGTGTGAAAGCGAGTGAGAGAGACTGTGTGAGTGTCGCTGGCTGGTACCTGTTTGTGCGAGTGTAGACGTGTTTGACTGCAACTGGGGGACTTATTTCAGTGGATTTGTCTCCCCACCCTAACGTGTCACCGTGTCACTCCTTTAGGTGGAAGAAAAATCCAAACGAGAGGAGCTGGAGAGAATTTTGGAAGAAAACAACCGAAAGATTGCTGATGCTCAGGCTAAGCTGGTATGTATTTCTATGTTTTATTTTGTCAACAAAACAAGAAACAAAAGCCAAACATAACAAAATGTGAATGTACACAAAACAAAATGAAATGTAATAGTCAATGAGTATGCTTCTACATCATGCTCTCTCAGTGGGGTGTATTTAGATTTGTCTGCACGAAAAGTGTCTTTTTGTTATGCATGACAAGGTTCCCATAATTATAGAAAAACAGAAATTAGGGTCACAATATAAAATTTGAACTGCACTATTATTGTGGTCAAAAGAATTAACAATTATGATATTATTGTAATATCTATAGAAATTTTGAAAAAAAAATGTTTTATGAATGGTGGCAACTAAAGTTATTGCCATGTACTATATTGGAGTGTCAACCATATAGTGGCTGTTGAATTATTTATGATGTAATTGTATGTGTAGTATTAACATGTTATCAATATGTCCTTTTTTTTAAGTATCACGGTTTCTCAGGAAATGTTGATATCCAGACCTGAAAAACTCATAGGAACTGGCAAAATCTAAAAAGTCTTAGAAAGTTCTATAGTGAGTAATAATATTCTTTTAAATATTTAATTGACTTAGAAATAGTTGTGAGTGCAGTCTCTAAGAAATTGTTAAAAGTTCTTATCCAATGATAAGTGCTAATCTGGAATAGTCATGGAAATTCATTGATCAAAAAGGGGAGGGAACCCTGATATACACTGTTCCATGCAGAGATCAAGCCAGTGGATTAATATTGAATCCTAAGTACAATGATAATTAAAAGCTCTAATGTTAGTTTTGACAACACATTTGTGGCGATACTTTGGTGTTTGTGTTTATACGTTTCAAGGTCATTAGAATTGTGGCATTTTGTGTTACTATAAAGTCGCTCTTCCTCAAAATGGCCAGAAAATGTTTACCCTCATGGTTTTGATTTGAAATGTTTTGATGGTTTTTACTGTGTCAAGTCATTGTGAATGCTCAAGTGTTTTTTTCCACTTGCGTAGTGCTAGTAGAACCTGCCCTCTCTGAAATGTTTGAAATGTTCTGAACTTACAAAATGAATGCTTGTCAATGCCCACATTTTATGTATATGGTAGTACTGAATACAGTGAACATTGTTTTGTTTTTTCATTAGTACATACTGTTCTGTTAATTACGGTACATTTTTAATGTATTAGTGGATCAAAAGATCTAAAGTGTACCTGTTTGTCTTGGCTGATTGAAAAAGTCACTTTTGCTCATGTGTTTGTTTGATTGTTTCAGGCTGAGGATCAGCTACGTATAGTGGAAGAACAAAGGAAGATCCACGAGGAACGCATGAAGCTAGAGCAGGAGAGGCAGAAACAACAGAAAGAGGAACAGAGGATGATTTTGGGGAAGGGCAAGTCCCGACCTCGCCTCTCCTTCACTCTCAAAGCTACAGAGTGACTTCTCTTCTCTTCTCTTCTGATGTGTGCTTCATGTTGAAGTGAATCAGAGTCCCAAAGAGAGGTCTGCCCTGTGCTCTCTGCCCACATAAATTACTCTTCGAAAACCCAGGAAAATCTCACGCTTCAAAACCGGACTTGCAGGCACCACCACAGACTTGCAGATCAGCTGCCGCCATCTGCTTTTTTTTTTCAGTGTGTCGTATTGATATTTGACACCGTTATGCTGGATGCACCTTCAGAAACAGCCCCCCCCCAATGGCAAGCAAATAAGAATGAATACGTGTAAATATCTGTGTATATGAGTGTGCATGGCTGGTTGGTCAATATATATCAGTGGTTTGGGAGCTCTGTTGGTACAAGCTCAGTTTAACTACTGTTCTTGCGTTCAAAGCATAGGGGGAAGTACACAAAAATGTTTTGAAAAATGTAAATTGGCAAACTTTGTTTTGTGCTTATTAGTGAATGTATGTGCAGGAGTGTGTGAGAGCATTTCATATTTTTTAGATCCCGGACTGAACACCTCAAAACATAGAGTTTCTAAAATGCTGCTTAACACATTGTTCCCATAATCACCTGATATGAGCTGCGTTTATAGCATTGTAACCTAGATCACATTTGTCCTCTTTGATACACCTTACTTAAATCGCTCATTTTTGAAACGTAGAACATATGTGTGACCAGAACTTAATTAGCATTCACAATACAAACATTTTGGTGAAAAAAAAAAAGGTTACAATGTTACAAAGTCTTGTAATGTGCCTAGTGTTCTGTTGGTACCTTAAGGAAATCGGGAATCACAGGTAAGACTAGTTAGGGTGTGTATGCGAGCGAGTTTGTGTGGGTGTATGAGTGTATGCTAGAAGGGTGTTCTTGTCTTGTGGTAAATTACCCCTTTCCTTGTGAACTGGGACATTTAGTGTAATGACCAATAAATCCCATCAACACAACATTGCCTGAATCATGTTTCTTGAGCTCTCTGCAAACCTCAAAGGAGTTTGTTTAGAGCCTCAGTGTTCTCTTCTGGGAATTGTAACTGCTCTCTTGCTTAATTCGACCCATTATTTTAATTCTGCATATATTCTGCAACACACCAGACATTTGTTGTTTTATAGGATAATTACAGTAAAATCTAAACTCTTAAAAAAAAAAAAAAACTACTGCCTTTGTGGTTTTATAGATACTTTAGGTAAGATTGTAATTTTGCAAGATTCTTACTAAAGTTTGATGAATTAATATTTGAACTGTCTTACAATACATCTGAAGTGCAGAATCAGTGTTAGACCAGCATAATCCCAAGAAACTGCCCTCTTTAAAAGGTATAGTGAGGTCATTCCATGAAAAAGGGTGTCTTTTGTGTTCCTCGTAAACCATTACCATTCATTCCTTTTAATTGAGATGAAAAACCACCATTCTTTCAGGCTGTGAACTCTTCAAGCACAAGTATTTTTTTAAACAATTTTATCATACTTTATAGTTAATAATGGACATGTTACCATGATTTTGTACAGAAAGCAATTTATAGAAAATGTTTATAGAAATATCCCGTTGTTTTTCTAATGAACACCATGTAGTCTTGTGATCTTTTTTGAAGTTATTTATATTCCAAATTAAATAAAAGTTTACATTTAGTTTAATGGCACAATATTCTTTAAAGATCTAACAAAAAAGGCTATTCTATACTTGATCTAGTAGAATATTTAAAATCTTAAAGAATTTACTTTCAAAATCACCTTTTCCAACCCATTTCGGGGAATGGCCCAGTAATTGATTTAATTCTGAATTTAACCCTTCATATGAGTTAAAGACCTATAACCTAATCTGCCTTTCCGTTTTATTTCGGATTCCTCTGATCATGGATTCCGCTCGAGGTTTCTTCTGGCCGCTGCCTCGGGTTCTCAGGTGGCCTGTGTGAGAAGCTAATGGAAATGTTGGCACACTCTTGTGACACAGACGTGTGATTTTTTTGACGAGCCAGCATGATGTAGTCTTGTGTTTATTAGTCACTGTCAGCTTTAACAACGCCGAAACCGTGCTCGTGTACTCGACCCCTGCGCGCGTTCAACTCCACAATTCTTTTAGTGATTTGAAGACAGAGTTCAGCGCCAGGCAGAAGTTATAACGGCTATTATGATCTGTTGAGAAGCGATGCGTAGAGTTTGGCTGGGAACGCCCATACTTTGCTGTTGTCTGTGCGTGTAGGGAGGCCAGCAGGAGTGTTTTCTCCCAAGTGTAGCTTACTGTGTTTAATCACGCTCCGAGGGACCCGCGGACAGTGGGGATTATTCACGTGCAACCGAATAAACATCGATCTGACCCTGTGATTTCAAAGACCTGAGAAGTTGCTCAGAGTTGATCTTGAATGTGTGAAGCATTGCTTGTTTTTCCATTTACGGAGCGTCATGAGACTTTGGGAACATTTGGGTTGAGATGTTTAAACTGATAGTGAAAATACATTTAAAAATTACAAGTCAATCAGGAAAAAAAAAACTAAATTCGTTATAAATAGCCTAAAGAAGCTGGAGGAAATAGTTCAATATGTTTCCATTGAATATATGTGTATTTATAATATTTATTCCCGTGCACGTGGATTAAAGTTATTAATTTAATTAGACATGTTGTTAAAATTAATTAACGGTTTTTGTTCTAATAGAAATGTTCTAACGAAGAATTCAAGAAAGAATATGCTAAAAAAAAAAAACACGTTTACGTCTTTACCAGGACACTTTGATATCTTAACATCTCATCTGCATTGGTTATTTTTAAGATAGTTCAGGAAATCGCCGTTTCCTTGTTTTCCCGTTGGGATGACTTCTTGAATTGTGTTAGCTCGTCCTTTTGTTTGGTAGTGTGGGAGCATTTTCAGAAACAGACTACTGCATAAAGTAAACAATGTATTATACCTTTGGAGCTCTTTGTAGGCTAAGTATAGTGCTTGAAAAACAATTATAAGATTGCCTCTTTAATTTTGCACTTGCAATTTAGGGCTTGTATTGACAAAATATGAGTTTACGTAGCACAATAATAAAAGTGTAATCTAGCCTATTAGATAGACGTCATAATCAGGCAATTGGCCTTTGATGTAACACGTTAATAAACAGCTCCATTAATGCACAGCAACCATTCGGTCTGTGTAGCCTATTCGGCATGTGTAGTGTGTTAATTTTCGCTTCGATGTGTAATCTGCGCGTTTGATGGACTCTTAAACCAGCAGAGCAACACTGCACGGCGATAACAGTAAATATACGATGATTCAATTACAGTCTTCACAGGAAAGTGTGAATGCTTTTCACACCGGCTTTTCTTCACACTTGCGTCCTAATTTAGTTTTAGGCTGCTTCCTTAAGGGTATAGTGCTTGAAAAACAATTATAAGATTGCCTCTTTAATTTTGCACTTGCAATTTAGGGCTTGTATTGACAAAATATGAGTTTACGTAGCACAATAATAAAAGTGTAATCTAGCCTATTAGATAGACGTCATAATCAGGCAATTGGCCTTTGATGTAACACGTTAATAAACAGCTCCATTAATGCACAGCAACCATTCGGTCTGTGTAGCCTATTCGGCATGTGTAGTGTGTTAATTTTCGCTCCGATGTGTAATCTGCGCGTTTGATGGTCTCTTAAACCAGCAGAGCAACACTGCACAGCGATAACAGTAAATATACGATGATTCAATTACAGTCTTCACAGGAAAGTGTGAATGCTTTTCACACCGGCTTTTCTTCACACTTGCGTCCTAATTTAGTTTTAGGCTGCTTCCTTAAGGCTGGACATGGCGAAAATACACTTCATTAAGTTGTTTATTTCTCCAGAACTTAGTAGATAAACTTAAACAGTCTATATATAATGTAATAATATAATATATAATATAATATAATAAATAAAACATAGGCCTATTACATATTTGTATTACTTTTTTGTATTGACTTTTTATGACTGTTTATACTTATAATAGTTTATTCTTTTATATTTAAATTGTTTTATTTAAATTTGTGCGTTTGTGATAACAGTACATAACAGTGCATTTAACAAGTAAAACTGAACTACATTAACTTTAGGCTATATAAGAGTAATGTAGGCTATATCATCATATACCCTGAATTAAATTAAATTAAATTATTGATATTTTGTCTTGTCAGAATAAAATACAAACATAGTGCTAAATTGTTGTAATGAACCTGTTATTTAATTCATACACAAATTTAAGAAAAGTCAAATGTAGGCTACTTACACATTCAGTTGGTTCAGTTCAGTTGGCCGCTAGTGGGCGCTGTTGACTGCTGAATGAATCCCTCACGCATTCAGCAGGCGGCTTTCTGTCAAAGACTGTTTCTGTCGACCTCAACCTAAATAAATGCCTTTATTTTAAGATTATTGGCCATATGGGAATTAAAATCGACCATTGTGCATGCCGTGGAACACGACAATAACAATAAAATTAATTATGTAAATGAACAATGATATAAAATATAATAAAGAAAAAGAGTAGTGATGCATACAGTATATTATGTACTTAGTAGTACGATTTGCTGTTTTTCGGTGTAGTTATGTTAACAGCTGCGATTATACACATTCTACCACGAGTTCTCTTTGAAATGCAGAAATTTAATTAATCCCTACGAACTGAAATCTGGGTTAGCGACCTGAAGTCCGATATATTCTCTCATAGCTCGACAGGTTTCTCTCCACGGTTACCTGTCCAATGAGAGAGCAGGTGGGAGGAGTCAGCGAAAAACTCGCTTTGACAAATATTCCGTGTTGTATACGCTCGGTAGCTACTTGCAGTACAGACTCGCGCAGAGGACCGAGCATCCCGCAATTCACGCGCACAGCATTTCAATCCGGACCCGCAGGACTCGAGGCGCAGCTGTTCTCTGCTACTGTGCGGGTTCCACGACGACCCATGAGAACTTTCATTTGACTTCATCGTTTCATTTTATTTTTTTTATTTTCATTCATTAATTATTCTTATTTTTTTGTTTCATCCAATAGGCTGCAATTAATTAATTCTTGCTCATCTTTTCCAAACTGCCTCATTCGTTTTTTGGGAACTCCAGTGGTTTTTCCCCTCATTTGCCTGCCTGACCGGAATACCTCGCATTTGGAATTGGTAACGTTACCTGCTTGCCTTTTTATCCACACCGGGGGGATTAACTTCCATGTCTCCACGGACATCCAGCACTTCGGCGGCGACGACACGGGTCGCCTTCCTGTGAGGAATGTACGTGCTCCCCACGGCCGGTTGATCGGAGTGTGCTCCACTCAGTCGTAGCTATATTTTACCGAATGATAAACTGCCTGCTGTCCGCGGTGCTGCTCTCTCTTTTAACTCAAGCAGGACTAATAGAGGAGTAGCTCTTCCCATCGGGATGGTTCACTTCTAACCGGGCTCCTATTCAGCATTTTTTTTTTTTTAACTTTTTCCTGGAACGGGGGATATTGAGTTTGGATTGTCACAAGCAGCACTCCAACAAGACGCTTTCTATCTTTTTTTCTTATTAGAAATTCCCGCGAAACGGAATCTGACCGTAACGGTCGTAACGGACCATGGGCGACTCTCTGTGGAGATATTACTTTGGCGTTTTAGTTATCGCGTGCAAGGTGAACCTGTCCCGCGCGCTCATCCTGGACTCCATATACTGGAACACGACGAATACCAAGTAAGTGCTGGAGGCGGCAAAGCTCCGTCACATCTTACCCTCTCTCACTCATTCAGAGCAACGTTCAGACCCTGAAAGTGGGCGATGTTGGTCAAATCACGTTCAGTAAAGCAGGAATAGCAGGTGATGTGGATCGTCGAGCTGAGGCGAGTGACGCGTTGTTTCCACTTACAGGGGTTTAGAACATTGATTTAAAAAATGAGTCGCATTTCACAGTAATTAATAATTCATCGTGCTAACTTGTAAATTTGAGGCAGAAAGGAAGAAATAATAGTTTTGAATGGCCCCACAGGACCTCAGGTCATAACTCAGAGGATTTTTTTTTACCCACAGTGATCTGAGCTGTTTCATGACACAAAATTATTTTGTCAAAACAATTAAGGGAAAAAAAAAAAAAAAAATCACAGGAGAGTAATTCCATGTTTACATAGACAAATAATGAAATTTTTTTTTTTTTTTTTTTTACAAATGTTGGTTACATTTCCAGCTGAGGCCTAATGTTTTATTGAACGGCTTAGGCCCCAAGTCCTTTAAGGTATAGCTAAGTTAACGTTACCTCAGAAAATGTAGCCTATGCGTAATTCTCACCATCGCAATCCTCAGACAGAAAATCAGACATTCAACCGTTTTCCGCAAATGATCCTTTTCATTGTTTTTATGATTTCTCCTGGTCGTGGTAGAGGCATTTTTTTTTCTAATTTATTCAAATTTCAGACGCGAGTAAGCATTTTTTTTTAGAGCATTCACGTGTATAATTCTCTACAATTTTCACTTGAAGGACGTTTTTTCCCCCTAAAATGTAAAAGTAGTCGCTTGTTGTGGTTTTGTTTTTTCTCCTCAGTGACTGCGAAGATGAGCTCACGCGTAGCACTTCGGCGCTGAATCGTGCATTAAAACAGCGAAACATCAAGTAATGCTTAAATCCGAAGGGGTCTCGAGCGCTTCGTAGAGAAACTCCATGCTCGTTCAGTAATTCACCTTTCGCTCTCGGCCCGTTTTTATAGAGAAAGACTTCTCTCTTTTACCCCTGCATGTAGCCTATAGGGCAGGGATCCTCAAATCTGGCCCACGAGATCCACTTTCCTGCAGAGTTTAGCTCTAACCCTAATCAAACACACCTGAGCAAGCTAATCAATGTCTTCAGGATCATTAGAAAATCACAGGTAGGTGAGTTTGATCAGGGTTGGAGCTAAACTCTGCAGCGCATTGGCCCTCCAGGGCAAGATTTGAGGAACCCTGCTATAGGGCAAGGGACAGCATGGGTAGACCGCAGCACAGGTGTCCCGTGTTGATAATTACGGTCTTTAGTGCACACAGGTAAAAGAGCGGCTGTCTTAAATCCTTTGGCAGTGTCGCAAGCGTCCTTAAGTACGTTAATTAATTAATAAGAGTGTAATTGATCTAAAAGGCTTGGCTCTGCACAGGACTCGCTGGGATTGAGTTGTTGACAGGAACTTCGGTATATTGTACAGAGCGATATTTATTTGTTTGTTTAAAGGCGCAAAGCGATGTAATTTAATTTAAAAAAAAAACAATTCCAAATTTTGCTGGGTCTAAATTGTTTTGAGAGAAAAAAGGATCGTTTGGCTGCATGATGAAGAAATAGGCGACTGTTCGTCGCTGTATTTGTTGTAAATTCTGCCGTGAGGGGACAAAATATATATATATATATATATATATATATTTTGTCCCCTCACGGCAGAATTTACAACAAATACAGCGACGAACAGTCGCCTATTTCTTCATCATGCAGCCAAACGATCCTTTTTTCTCTCAAAACAATTTAGACCCAGCAAAATTTGGAATTGTTTTTTTTTTAAATTTAGAGAGCCGCTTCGTTCAGAAACGTGCTGGTTTTAACCCAACCCAAGCACTTACTAGAGCGGCCGCGATCAGCTCCGGTTCCCGTGTCTGAGCCGTGACGCCCCGCAGATTTGTGCAGAACGGAGCGCGAGTGAACGCGATCATTCCTTCCTCTGTATTACTAGTTTTAACGCGAATATACATGACTGAACATCTCATGCCTCATGTAATTGCTCAATCAGTGTTTCAACCGCGGAAAGACATCAACAATACAGCGTGGAAATAAAATGTCAAGTAGCATTTAATTTACCTCAGCAAGTCATCAGTGTCCACAGCTCGTTAGTTCACTAGAGAAATGAAGTCTAGAGAGGAGCATTTTGCGAAATATTACACCATATACTCATTATATTCTACTAAACCTGTTAGTCTTAATTATCTAATGTACAGTATGTTGAAATTAATCTGTTATGAAACATGCTATGACAGCCATTGTGTAATTGAATATATTTTAACAAATAGCTTAGAAATGGTATTATTTATAAGTTAATGTAAAAACTGCATTATGTGCAATTTACATGTTTGCATACAATTTTTTTTATTTTATTTTTTTTAAGTTGAGTGTTGATCATCTATTTAAAAATAAATAGCAATTAAATTTAAGTTTGGGTTAAGTTGTTAGGCCTAATTGTAACCTTATAATGTAAAAGGGCTCCCGATAGTTTTAAGCATAAGCTGAGGTAGATTTTTATCACTAAGAAAATGTAAACTATAACTGAATGTATTTAAAGAAAAAGCAACTTGTTCAGTAAACCATTTAAAAAAAAATAATTTTCCCCCTGCTGTACCAAAATCATACCGAACCGTGACGTTAAAACCGAGGTACGTACCGAACTGTCATATTTGTGTACCGTTACACCCCTAATATATATATATATATATATATATATATATAAAGGAGAATGACGTGTTGCACTGAGATTCAATTTTGCTGAATGCGCCTGCGACCATTGGCCCACTCCACTTAACCTACTTTTACATTGTTCTTATATAAGACATTCTTTTAGTTTAGTTTTTTTTTTAATACTCTATAGGGAACTTGAACAATTAAAATTACTAATGTTTTAACTATATTGCAATATGCCAATTTAAATGATGAAAAATCATGGAGTGATAAAGTTGTGGCCTTCTCTTATAGTGAATATAGGTTAAATTTTTATAGCTTAAATTAAATATTTATATTTCCTCAAATATTGCATGCAGTGCTCTTAAGTAAAATTATTTTAATTCAAAGATTAGTATTTGTAATACAAATGGTAATAATCTGTCTAATGATTTCTAAAATATCCAATTTTGAACAATGATGGAAATTCTTTGGTCAAAAACTGGGAGTAGTTTAGATTCCTCACAGTTTGCTACAGTTCTAAGCGAGCCATGTTCATTACACTTTAGCGTTTATGTTTCTGGGTGATTACAAATCTACGTACTGCGTAATTGTACTTGGTATGTAATTATGTTTTTGTGGAGTAGTTTGTAATTGTAATTACAAATTATTTTAGTTAGTTACATTTTTATATATAACTTATACTGAATGTGAAGTGTCACCACCATGTCGGTAACTATTGTGACATCTTCATTGATGGAGACCCAGAGTGACCATGAAGTGACCTCCAGCGGCATGTCTCTCTATTGTGTGTGTCACTGTAAAGATGCAGGCCTCATTCTTCCCAGGCAAGCCAGCGTTCCATGGAATTGTTCACTGCGCACATTCCTGCTATTCTGTTGGGGCAGTTCAGTGTATAGTTCTTTGTAGCACTGCACAGGACTAAATGGTGATGGCACTGATAGCATTGTTAGCGTTGGCTGCATTTTAACCATGTGACAAGATAAACAGAGCAAAACGTTGGGACATGGCAGGAATCTTGTTACATTCAAATATATTAACTCTGCATTTCTTTCTTTCTTTCTTTCTTTCTTTCTTTCTTTCGTTCTTTCGTTCTTTCTTTCTTTCTCTCCGGCTTGATTTCTTTCCTTTGGCATTAAATTATTTCATGATATGAATTCATTTTTCAATAATAGGTGAACTGAGGAGAATCTGACTCCTGTCTTGTATCGACTCCAGTTTCATTTTAGAAACACGAATACCCAATAAACACAAAGTACAACTTACTATCTGAAGATTAGAGAGAAATCCCATAGGTATAATGTTTGTGAGTATGTGAATAGCAGCGCTATGGGACATGCCTTTATCTAAAGTATCAGTGCCGCATAATGGGAGATTTGTGCTTAATATCCATACTCTACTCCCTATGGCCTTCTGTACATGAGACAACCGTCACCAACTCCCACAATGCTCAATCACTGAGCGAGTGTGTGTGTGTGTGTGTGATAGCTGGGTTTTTCCCAAGCGGCAACCTCCCGCTCTCTCTCCTGATGCCAACAAGGAAGTGACTTAAACTGTAATTCATCAACTGGCCGCTAGAGGCTGGCTGCAAAAGGGAGTCAATCCCATAGACTCCCCATGTTAAAATGCCAAACTTTACAGCAGAAAAAAACATGTTTACAGCCTGGTTCAAAAAATTATTTTGGTTTATATAGCTAATTTTGCCCTTCATGACAACTGTGAGGGGGGTGAATTTTTTTATAACTCATCCGTTTAAATTATATTAAAGGGGTCATATGATGCGATTTCAAGTTTTCCTTTCTCTTTGGAGTGTTACAAGCTGATTGTGCGTAGATAAGATCCCTGAAGTTGCAAAGACTAAAGTCTCAAAACCAAAGAGATATTCTTTATCAAAGTTAAGACTCTGCCACGCCCCCCTAAAACGGCTCGTTCTAACACGCCCCACATATCTACCTCACTATGTGGAAATATTTGCATAATGCGCCCAAATGTGTACACAAAGAAAGAAGGCGTGGTTTCAGTAACCGCAGTTAGTGTTGAAACAGCCATGTCAGGGAGACGCTGTGTGTTTCTAGACGAAAGCAAAAGCACTTTATTTGGCCTTCAGAAAGTAGATGCATTTAGGAATCTTTAAGATCACTTACAACAGAACAGCAATGCATTTTATGGACGACCGTTTCGTGAACCTAGGAGAGGAGGTAATTCTGACTTTGCTATGACAATATGGCGCTTCTGAATCAGCTACTGTTTTGTTATTAGTTTAAGTATTTGCTATTGACTGTTCAAATGCAGAGTTTTGCGCATCATGTCTGTGTGTGTGTGAGAGAGAGAGAGAGAGACAGGGTCAGTAGCCGGGAGTGACGCGTGGTGACGCGCTACCAAGATGGCGACGGCCGGCTCTGCCCACTTTGAGCTTCAAAAACCTCTTCAGGAACCTACGGGTGACGTCACGGACACTACGTCCATGTTTTTATACAGTCTATGGTTTTTCCCCTCCCATTGCAAAAATGTGTGTCAATCTAGTGTGCAGTGTTTTTTACCCCTTCACTGCTTTACCTCTGATGTATCAGTGTAAAGACTCCTTTCCCCTCTCTCTCTTCTCTCTCCCTCTCTTTCTTGTTCCTTCTGGTAATCCATTTTGTCGGAGGTGGAGAAACAAAAGCAGTCTGCTCTACACGTTTTCAGTCAAAGGAGGTTCCCCCTTCTCTTCATTAGGAGATTACATCGCTTAGCAGGGTTCTGATGGGGGCACATCCATGGCTACATACACATGCAGATACAGCATGAATGAACGAGGGGCGAGTGGGCCATGAACTTCATGATAGACTGCTAGCAAAAGGCTGTTATGATTTAGATGCTGAGTTAATCATTTTCCAAATTTATCGTCATCATATTAGCAGATGGGAGAGATTGTTTTGCCGCTGGGAGAGAGCGAGGAGAAGAAAGGGGACTGAGGGAAAAGTGTGATGTCTAGTCATTACCTCAAAGAGAATAAAAGTTCATTATTAAATGGCATTTGTGTTGCTTTAAAATTTGAGGGGAGAGCAGACGGTGTCTTTCGGGATTATGGAGTTGAATAGATGAGAAAAACAGGAAAGAATGAAGGGATATAGGCTGACAAAGGGAAAAGGCGCCTGTCTGGTCGATTTGCCCTCTCACCCAATGCAGGTCTCGGTTGCAAAGCATGATGGAGCGATTAAACCGTGAGATGTCTGTTGATTTATTTTGTCCCCTGCTTTCTATCCATGGCTTTCTATGGCCAATGAACCTCCATATTGGTCTGATGATTGAAAGTCAAACAGCTGAAGTTCCCCTCCACCCATATGTGTCCGTCACCCAGTGTTGCTTCAGATCTTCGGGTTAAAGCGCTGTGTTCCTATTGGGGCAGGATTAGGCTACTGCTGTCACTGTGTCACGGCTCGGCCCACACAACTAGAGATTAACATGGGAAAAGAAAGAAAGAGGAAAGCTGATGGACAAACATTCATATGCAAAAGCACCATTTGAAGAAAGCGAAATATATGAAACCATTGGGGGGAAAATGTTGAACAGAGTTTATCAGGAACACATGTGTTGGTTTTAGTTTTAGCAAATGAATCTGTATTTTAACCCCTAAGAAGTCCTCCAAAAAAAGAAAAATGTGATGGGCAATAGAAAAAAAAAACAAAAAAACAGATGTCTTATCCTTTACTCTTTAACACCTTTCAGACGTCCATCCAGCCCAGCTGTTTCTCAGCTTCAGTTTTATCGTTTATATCATGCCTAAGTTGCCAGAGAGAGTCCTGAAAGTCTTATACTCATTAACCACTTTCTCTTTTCTTTTGCTTTAATGTATATGAGCAAGTTTATTTAAATGACTTACTTTTGAAGTGCTTTTAGAAAAGCTTCCAAAAATGAATATTTCAGTCTGAGCACAAGTGAATGAGTCAGTGGGAAGAAGACAAAAAGAAAAGATAAAACAGATGCCTTGTGAGTATAAAAAACAGAGATATAAGAGGGACAAATGTGGATCACAAATGAAATTATGGAGAAACTTCTTCAAGTGGCACAGCCATGTCTCCTTAGATGTACTGCACATATCCTGACCATTCGCTCTTACACATGCACGCCTTTTCCGACTTAATGGCTTCTCTGTGTGCAGCTGCAGTCTTGTTAACAGAATGAGCGGTCTGTGTTAAACGTGTGCAAACCCTTATTCTGTCATCCTTTTCTTTTTCACATTCACATGTCGCAGAATATTTACGACCACTGTGAGAATCACCAAGGCTAAAGTTGGGGGGTTAAAGTGTGTCTTTTAGACAATGATTAAAGCCATTTACAAACATGAGTGTGACCTCTGGCTTTATTTGTTCAAATACCCCCCACTTTTATGTCCCGCTCCCTACTCAAAACTAAAACTAGACAGTTTTAACAGCGGCACCTGTAAAACAGACACGTAAAACACCCTTTTAATAGCGGAATGTGTGCGTATAGGCTGCAGGGTGAACTTGTATACCCTGTGGTTTAGGATAAAGACTGACTGGGCTGCAACAATGTGTATAGCAACTAGCATGCTGCATTTGGCCTATCTCTCCGGTTCACTGCTCAGTTGTGTTCGCCCATTAAATGCAACAAAACAGAGGTTAATAGAATTAGCATGTGGTATATATGAAGGTACACTCTTATAAGTAAAGATTATTTATTCGTGTTGATAGTTCCTTGAAGAACCTTTAACGTTTCCAATGCACAAAAGGGTCTTTATAATAGAAGAAAGGTTCTTCAGATTATTAAAATGTTCTTCATACTAAGAAAAACTGTTCACTGAAAGTTTCACTGAACCAAGAATTGTTCTTCATTGGGATTGCTGTAAAAAAAAAACTTTTGAAACCTGTATATTTAAGAGGGGAAAGGTATTCTGTTGCAAATGCAATTTTTTTCTATTTAGGAAAAAAGAGCAGATTTGTGGTTTTGTAGGTGTGTGTATGTGTGTGTAAACTTTTAAGGTGTGAACATGTTTTACTCTGGGAATTTACGAGTCTCACCCTCTTCTTTTGAACGATCCCAAAGCAAATATTTGAGCACATCATACACATATGCAGGCAAACTGTTCTTGGCTTTTCAAATAAGCTCGCGTAGCGATAAGACATGAGCGCGATAGCAATCCAGTGTTTGGCTCGAGAGGATTTGCGTGGCTAGATCTGTCGTGCAGATAGTCCTGACAGCTACCCTGCTGCACGTCAAACACACACACACACAAGAGAGCAGTTTTCCCAGCTACTCCTGTTTTAGTCCCTCGAGGCAGATGGCTGGGAGCGTCGCCTGATGCGAGCTGCTGCACTTTTCCTCCTTATTTCTCATGACATCATTTTCTTTTCACAGCGCTGCTGTTTAAGCGCTTGGCATCTGAGAGACTATTTGTCTTTTTTCTAAAGTATGAGCCATGAGTCAACACCTTTGTCTCATTCTAGCTGCTCCATTTTCTTTTCTGGATTCTCATAAAGGAAGTTAAAGAGTTCACCCAAAAATGAAAATTCTGTCATTAATTACTCACCCTCGTGTTGTTCCAAACCCGTAAGACCTTCGTTCATCTTCGGAACACAAATTAAGATATTTTGGATGAAATCTTGAGGGCTCTCTGACCCTCCCATAGACAGCAAGGTAACTACCACGTTCAAAGTCCAGAAAAGTACCAAGATGATCGACAAAGTAGTCCATGTGACATCAGTGGTTCAACTGTAAAGTTTCCGAAGCTACGAAAATACTTTTTTGCGCAAAGAAAACAAAAATAACAACTTTATTCCACATTTTCGTCTCTACTGCGTCACTTGTGGACGCGCGTTCATGACAGTACCATGACGCGAGCGTGTGGCGGCGCTGACCCAGATCCGGCGTAATGACGTCATCATGCCAGATCTGGGTCAGCGCCGGATCTGGTCAGTATTCTCGTAGCTTCGTAACTTTACAGTTGAACCACTGATGTCACACGGACTACTTTGTCGATCATCTTGGTACTTTTCTGGACTTTGAACGTAGTAGTTACCTTGCTGTCTATGGGAGGGTCAGAGAGCCCTCAGATTTCATCAAAAATTTAATTAAATTGTGTTCCGAAGATGAACGAAGGTCTTACGGATTTCGAACAACACAAGGGTGAGTAATTAATGACAGAATTTTCATTTTTGGGTGAACTAACCCTTTAAAAACACTTGTGCATGCAGTTTAGGATCGTTTCAGTTACTCTCCTACGATTTTATGATCCAGCTAGTTCTTTAGAACCCGTTTTATCATTTATAATCACTGCTAAATAATTAATCATCCTCTTTTTTTAATTATTGATCAACACTATGCTTCACGATCCAGCATATTTTTGATCCTGAGAGCAGTTTGAATATTATTTATCATCTATGATGTGTCTCACTCTCTCTCCGTCTCTCTTTCTCTCAAAGGTTCGTGCCAGGACAGGGTCTGGTGCTGTATCCACAGATCGGGGATAAGATGGACATAGTTTGCCCACGCGTGGAGGGCGGCTCTACGGAAGGAGTGGAGTATTATAAACTCTATATGGTTCCTCTGGAACAACTAAAGTCCTGTCAGGTCACAAAGGCAGACACGCCTCTACTCAACTGCGTCAAACCGGACCAGGACGTCAAATTCACCCTCAAATTCCAGGAGTTCAGCCCAAACCTTTGGGGCCTGGAGTTCTTTAGGGGGAAAGACTACTACATTATATGTGAGTATGTCAGCGGATATCTGTAAACCACCCTTACCGCACCGTTCTGGTCAATTACGTTAGCTTGGGTTTGTTTATGTGGTTTTGAGTATCGGGAAAGGTTGACGTTGTGGCGTGAACTACATTAGCAATGTTTTAGTGAGTCATGGTGCAAATAATGACACGTTTATATCACATTTGCTAGTGTTTGTTTATGATGGCTGGAGTAGTTGTTAGTTCCAGAGTTACAGAGATGGAAGGTTTCTGTTTGTGAGTGGCATTTGACCATGAACGCGTATGTACACAAACACAAATGACTTCTCGTATTCGCTTTGTATCATTTTGCATGTGGGTTGAATTTTCACATTTGCGAAAACAATAACTGCTCACCTGGCCTCAACACACACACACACACTTCAGGCTCAAAGCAAGCTGCTTAAACAGCGGGTGAGGTGGAAGAGAAATGCAGGGATCTAGCAAATGGAATAGCGCGCACACACACACAAACAGAGACTGCTTTGATACACAGCGTCAATCTCATTGCCCAGACCTGAGCCGTTCTCTCGCTCTCCCTCGCAATGAGAGTTCACTTCCAGCATAAGGAAAAAATCAAATTTTGCAGTTCTGGGAAAATTCTCTCCTCCTTTATTTTGCTCTCTCTCAGTTTCTCTTAAGCAACTCTAATTTGTAGAAAGAAAAGGGAAAGAGAGAAAAAAGAGGTGGAGAAAGAGAAATTAGTTCATTTTGCTGCATTGTAGGTGATAATTGCCCTGGTGTACAGCTGGAGTCGTGAGTGTGTGTGTGTGTGTGTGTGTGTATGTTGTGAAGCGCAGAGACGTATGACTGCTGTGTGTGGTGGGGGGTTTATTCGATAAGTCATTAATTAAAAAGTTTAATCCTAATAGCTCAGTTTAATCACTCTGTCTTTATCAATTGGATCTGCTCAGAAACCAATCAGATGATTTCAATCCCTTATAAATGTGTTCAGCAAGCCAAACGTCTGTGTGCGTGTGTGTGTGCAGGACTCAACAATGAGAATTTTTTCTTTAGGTCAGTAGAATAGATTTTTACTTAGCCTTACAACTTTTTCACATGAATACGATAAACGGCTATTTTTGAGCAACATATTTTAATATGTGTCAAAAAATTATATACATATATTGTTCATTGTTCATTGTTCACTGTATTTATACTATGGTTCAAAAGGTTGGGCTCATTGTTTTTTACTTTTATGCAACAAGGACACATTAAACTGATCAAAAGTGACAGTAAAGACCACACTGTTACACAAACAACAATCTATTTCAAACTATTTATTTTCTATTTCAAAAGCTGTGTATTATAAATATTAAAAAATATATATTAAAAACAATGTATTATAAATATTATGCATCACAACTGTTTTTAACATTAATAATAATGTTTCTTGAGCACCAAATGACATATTAGAATAATTTCTGAAGGATCATGTGACATTGAAGACTGGAGTAAAGGCTGCTGAAAATTCAGCTTTTTCCATTACAGGAATACATTTCATTAAAGTAGAAAACATTTAATTTAAATTGTAACAATATTTCACAATATTGCTGTTTTTACATTGTTTTTATTTTGCAGCCTTCATTAAGCATAAGAGACTTCAAAAACATTTTAAAAAATATATATACAGGCCCTAAACATTTTCATACATCATGACAGATGTATGTGTGTAAACACACTTTTGCTTATGTACGTGATAAAAGCATGCAGTTGGTCACCTGGCCTAAAGCTCACTCAAACTGACCCCGGGTCATCGTCCATTTTTATTGCTTTATTGTTGAACCCTGGTGTGTGTTGGTGTGCGCTGGCCAAACTTTCAAATGGCTCTTCTATTGTTCATATGCAGCCTGATGCTGATGACTCTGATATGATTGTGTGTGTGAATATGAGTTTGATGTGATCTGGTCTGACAGACTGCCCTCGAGCTGGGGAGCCAGAAGAGAGATACATGATCTAAATATGGCAAGAGAGAGAGAGTTAGAGAGAGCAGGAATGTTTCATAAAAAAATAATACAATCTGTAGAAAGATGTGATAATTGAATAAAGCACAGACAAACTACATCTATGTAAATCTTAAAGGTGTGTTCAGTAATTTAGTCCCTTAAGAATAGAATAATAGTTCATTAGTAACAAAAAAAGCCAGTAGTGCTTAAAAAGCTGAATGTAACAGGTTTACGTTTGCGGTTTTAATTATCGTTTCATCAGTTTTAATTAGGACAGTGTCTGTAATTGGTTATTCTTCAAGTCAGTCTATTTTCCTAAGTTATCTAAGTTGCAGGTTCAGGGCCTGAAACAGAGAGAGACAATTTCACTTTCTTTGAATTAGTTTTCAGACTTCCTCATACTGACAGATGATGAAGAATTTAAACAATGCCCCTTAGCAACTAGTAATGTAACAGCATGCCATTGCCTGAGGGCGAGCATGTCAGTAGAAACCAACAATGATGAGCATTTATTACTGATAAGTGATTTCTAACATTAAATCATATATTTAGTATAAAGTATTTTCTATTTATATTCTATTTTTAACCTTCATTCCTTTCCTTTTCTTTTCGTTGTTTTATTTGTTGTAATTTCTGTTTTTTTATATGCTTTGACAATATTATTAATGTTAACAATCATGCCAATGAAGCATTGTTGACTTAAAGAGACATAAAGAGAGAGACATGTTGTTTTGCTTTGTTCAAAGCCAGTGAGGGCTTTTCGAGGTGCAGTGCCATATCTTATTAGAGTAGATGTACAATGTTTGTGTGTGTGTATTGTTGTGTGTCAGCTCTCATTATTGGCCTGAGTGCTGTTCACCACTCTGTGACCCTGACGCCATGTTGATCAGGTCAAACAACAGCTACAGCTCATCATCACAACTCACATTCACATTCAAGTACCTGTATTGCTAAATCATTAGTCAAGTTATTAATAGACAAAATAATTTTTTTTTAAATATAATTATATTAATAATAATAATAAGAAGAAGATTAATGATAATAATTATTATTATTTAAAAAGTAATTTTATGTTTAAATATAACACTACGCAAAAGTTTCTGAGCATTTAATGCCTGTTGCATGGTGTCATTTTCCAGTCCTGTCCCACTGGTTGCCCTATTATCATGGCAGAACTTTACATATCTCGCAGTCTGTTTGAGCTTGATAGGGTTTCACCAAACAGTATTGGGTTTTTGTGTCCACATGTAGTGCACAGACACATTTATCTAGCTGGGAGCATAACCTAGTCAACTGTTGTTTTTATATATGACACATACAATACATACTGCAGACTAAGCCAAAACCCAAATGTACCGCTATAAGAAAACCTTTTCCATTTTAGAATAAAAATAGTTTTCTATTATGTTGGGCACTTTTCATTTACCTTTATTGTTTTTGTACTGCTTTAATGATTTTTTTTTAATTATTTTATCAATGCACAATATTTTCAGCCTTATTTTTCAATTAAAGTATTTAGCTTATTTATTAAACCTTTTTTTTTTACTTCATTGAGCCCTCTTGCTGCTCTCCACAATGTAGGTTTCAGGTTTTTACTATCCATTTGGGGAAATTTGGCCTTCACAATGTAGGCCAAACCTGTCCCACAAACAAATACTCTTTGCCAGCTGGTCTGTCAGTTCAAAGTCAAACACTCTAATTTAACTTAAACTCGTCTATGAAGAAGTGCTTTAAAAGTATCTTTGTATACTAATCAACTTGTCGCTTCAACTAAAATTAAATAAACTGTGTGTCATGTGATGGTATACTGTTGACCTGGAATGTGAGATCATCATGTGATTATTGTTTAAGCAATGTGTTTGCTTTAATGTGTGCGTTTTTAGGCTCATTTGCCAGATTAATGAAATGAACACACTGAAAGGAACGCAAGCTTTTAAGGAGCTTTACATGTAATGAGCTTGTGTTCTTCTCAACACTAAAAAACCACAGGTCAAAGAAGCAGCAGAGAGAGTCAGATGGTGTCATGCTGCAGTGCAGTCCTTACAAACAAACAAAGAAGAAACGCAGAATCAGAAAGATCCATCACATGGCGCACACATAACTCACTCACACACTCCATCCACTTCATCAAAGTGGCAGCATTGGAAAAAAAAAGTGATGATGGGGGGACAGGCGCCTCATAGACTCCCACATCCCTCCCCTGTCTCTTTCTCTCTTACTCTCTCTCTCTCTCTGAATGCAGGCCACATTGTTCTGGACGCTGACCAGACGTTAAGCCCTTGGCAGCTCGTTAGCTCTGTGTTACTGACCCAATAGACCGCAAGCCTGCCGGGCGTGGACACACACGCACATACACGCACGTGGCATAGCTATATTGTTCGGGTAAAAGCCCACATAGGACACGTGGGACCAGTGGCCAGAATACTGCTGATAGTTTGTTTAGCAAAAGATAAAGATGTCAAACGGCTTAATTCAGTTCAAATTGATGTTGTTGTAAAATCAGATTGCATGTAGAAAACTAGTTTTCCTCACTTCATTTTTTAATCAAGTCCAACATCTGCTCAAAATTTTTTTATTGTTATTATTTAGTCTATTTTGGTCTTGCTCACTTGTTTCTCGACAAACATCTGCTGTGGCTAAAGCGTTACACGCTCTTAAACACGCTCCAAACCTCACATTCATTAATAGCACTCTCTCTCTCTGTGCCTTATTCGCTAAATTATTAACAACCACTCCTGGTGCTAGAGGCCTTCGCCTCACTGGTAAACACAATTTTTATTATTCCTTTTTATTATTCCTTTAATCCTTCTTATTTCCTATTGAATTGTTAAAGAGCAAAGGCACACTTTCTGACCATTTAATCTTTCAACCCCAATACAAACACAATTTTGGCCTGTGCAAAAAAAATAAAAAATAAATGGCACAGCTAGGACTACTAAAAGTTTGGTTACATGATTTATGAAGGCTCTGCACAGAGATTTGACTGTATGAATATTCATTAGTTGTGTTAATGTTGCAGTTACATCATCTAAATAGCTTGTAACTTCTTTGATCAATCTCAGTTATGTATTTGCATATATAATTGCAACACATGTTGATATCATGTTGCTAAAGTTCTTGTTTTTGTCATTGTGTTTCAGCTACATCTAATGGAACGATGGAAGGACTGGATAATCAGGAAGGAGGGGTGTGTAAAACCAAGTCGATGAAAATCATCATGAAGGTTGGACAAAGTGAGTAATCGTTTCACGGTCATGTGTGTATGTGGGTGTCTAATAGCTGTTTTACTGTGGGCACGAGGGTGTAGAACAATAGGAAAGCCCTTCGAACCTGCTGCAGACCCTGCACTGTAATTAATGACGATTATTCATAAATCACCTCACCAGTGAAATCTGTGGTAATTACCATAGGCCACACCCACCAACACAAGCGACTGAATTTCTCGCTCTCACACAAACATGCAGACACAAGCTGAAGGTCACTAGATTAATCATGGCTGCTTGTGTTTTAATGATGAACACACACACACTCACTCTCTCATGGTCGCTATCAGTCACACACGCACACTTTTATTTCGCTGAGCAGCATGAAAGTAATAGCTCTCCACATGAAAATGCATACATATATCAGAGTGATGAATGTGTTTCTTATCTATGATTTGCAGACCCCTCCGATCCCTTTTCCCCCAAAGAATACCCCACCAGTTACCCTCCCAAACACCCCGATGCAGGGGGCAAGGAGACCAAATCGAATGAAGTACTTGACAAGCCCGGTACGTCGCACACTTTATCACCTCACACATCTGTAAGGGGACGCTCACTGATTCATCATTCTCTGCTTTTTAATCCCTTTTTTGCTGAGCAAGTACCAGTCCTCTGTCACAACAATATGCACACTGATTTGTTCTCATAAAATCCTTCTGACAAGTAAATCGTTAATGTGACAGAGCAAGACGGACTTGCTGGAACGCATTCATTGTAGAATTCAGCTTCTCTCCTTCTACGTACAAGCATATGGACATCAAAGTCATTTGAGTGGAGTGTCTTAGGTACAATAATCCACTTGTAAAACAGCCTGAGTGTGAGTGTTAGCAGCTCATCTGTTCCGCCAGACTCATCTGGGCCGCTCCAGACAAACTCACTGGAGTCCAAAGCCGTGCGAGGTCACTCTGTCCACAGCTTTCCACAATCACGGAGTGTTTCTTAGACGTTATCTATCCTAATACACATTTTTGAGTTCAAAATGTCTTTCAGAAAACCGACGGCTTCCACAAGTACATAACTAATTCATTTAAACCATTTAGATAAAGGCAATTCTTATTAAAAAATTATCTTTTTTTTCCGCACTTACGCTACTACTCAAGCTTTGTACTCTGGTTTCTTCTTGAAATTTGTTTTCACTGCACTTCTAATACCGTCGGCTCTTTTATGATCAATCGCTTGTGTTTTCTCTCCTTTGGAAGTTGCTTTGGATAAAAGCGTCTGCTAAATAAATACATGTACATTTATTTCACCATACATAAAAGACGTTTCATTTAGTGTCAAGGCATCTTTTTAATTGCTTATGAGTGGGCCACTTCCTTTCTAGTCAGAAAGCCTGTTCACACCAAGAACGATAACTAAAAAATACCTATAACTATATTAGCATCCAGACCAATGGACGATTGTTAAACTATATTGTAGTTATCATTATTGTTATAGTTATCGTCATTGGTGTGAACAGTCCTTAATACTAGTTGCTCATTGCTTTTTTTGCTAAGTTCATGTTGTTGTTTTTCCCTCTTAGATGCATCTCAACAAGGAGAAGAGAAGGGAGATGGAAATAAATCATCCTCAGTCATCGGCTCAGAGGTTGCCCTGTTCGCCTGCATCGCCTCAGCCAGCGTCATTGTCATCATCATCATCATCATGCTAGTATTCCTCCTGCTGAAGTATCGACGACGCCATCGCAAACACTCGCCTCAGCACGCCACCACGCTGTCACTCAGTACATTAGCCACGCCCAAGAGGGGCGGCAGCGGAGGCAACAACAACGGCTCGGAGCCGAGTGACATCATCATCCCGCTGCGGACTGCTGACAGCGTCTTCTGCCCGCATTACGAGAAAGTGAGTGGCGATTATGGACACCCCGTTTACATCGTACAGGAAATGCCGCCTCAAAGCCCAGCAAACATCTATTATAAAGTGTGAAAATGGACACGCTTCCTTCGGACGTTTTAACTCTAACCCCCCCACATGCCCCTCGATGAACCCCCCGTGGGCGGAATCGACACCTGAGCTCACCCTCTTCCTGCCCCCTCTTATTTTTTTGTTGTTCTTGTTTATTTTACAATATTGCTGATTATTACTCTCAGTATAGATGTTGCTGATGGTGGAGTGACCCTCCTGATTCGCTGCTCTTGCACCTGCAAAAATGAAACAAACAAATAGAAAATGACAAAAAAGACAACAGAAACCCTCCGGGAGATTGAGGTGCACTACAACGGATACTATAGCATTTGTATGAGGGAGTGTGTGTGAATCAGATGAGCGGGGGAGAGGGGGTTTGAGGGGGTGGCTGAGAAAAGAGAGGTCAAGACAATGATTCTTCCTCTTTTTTCCACTACATCATCTCCCTTAAAGACACAACACACGGAGATGGAGAAGAGAAATGACGTGACAGTATCACACAGCAAGAAATATGAACTTGAGCTGATTATTTAGCTTGGCCGATTGACTGATCCTTCTCAAAACAGGAAGTGAATGCAGCCTATTGGCCAGAGCTACAGGAAGTGGATTTATCGAGGAAGCAGGAAGCTCTCCGGAGCCTACTGTTGGACATTTGAATGGACATCATCTGTTTTTGCACGTTCACTCGTACTGTTTTCATTCACATTAGCTCTCCTCATTTGTTCACCTCTACAAAATGACTCACGATGTTTACTTGAAGTCTTTTTGTATGGTCATGCGTCTCACGTGCATTTCTTTTTGTCATTCCCAGTGCAGTCCACTTGCAGATTCGTTTGGTAGAAGACTAATATGTATCGTCATAGAGATCCTTTTGTGCTGGTTTATGTGCCGTTTAGTAGTGTGGAAGACACATACACACATTTCATTTCATATACGTCTGCTGCCAGGGCTGGAAAAATGAGACAAACAGAGAAAGAAGGAAGGAAGGAAGGTCGATATTTGGTACAGTTGTTGTCCTGATGCCTGCTGGGAAGGTGGAGGACCCACATGAACACTTTAGCAGCACTTTGAAAGCCTCACCACCTTTCCCACGTGGAGTACAAACTCAAGAAAACACATTAAGACAGAGATTGCAGGGAGCGAATCACTCAAGGCTCAATAGGAAAATCTGTCATCTCTGACACAAAATGGCCGCCTTCCCCAGGCATGTCGCTGCAAAAGTTCCTGTTATTCTAGTATTTCTGCCATCACACACACACACACATTCTCTTTCACCAGTGGCCTGTGCAGATTGTGGAAAAGAGGAACTGGTGCTCTACGTTTTTGCTCAAAAGCACAGGGACATCAAGATATAATTGTTAAGTTTTGAATGAAACAAAATATTTAATTAGCATTTCTTTATGGATTTGTTTAGCTGTAGATGAAAACGGTTGGAAAGAGTGCACGTAGACTTTATTTATGATACCATACAGACAGGTTAGCGTGAAACAGCAAGAACATGAATAATTTATGGCGAATCTGCACATTATGCAAGCTTCGAGTTTTCCTTTTCGTTAACAGATATTTCTATTTGCTTTTTTCCATTGATCCCTACACGAATAGCTGCCTTTTGACCACAAACACACACACATACCCGCACAAAAAGCACATGCGCTCATGGCCAGGGAAGGGGCGGCTTTGGAAGGAGCCCTCAGGGAAAACAGCATGATGGGTTTTAAAATAGCCGAAAGGAATGAGAGGGAAGGGCCAGAAACGGACCAAAGGAAGGGCACGTCTAACATAGTCCCGACTAAACCAACTTCTCCGGCCTGCCTGCCTCTGTTGATGAAGCTCAGATGTGCTCTGGGTCGAAATTAGGCCCCTTAATCTGGAAGGAAAGCAGTAGACGTGGGTTAGTGAGCATACCAGATGAGAATGAGCGCAGGCTAAATGTAGTAAATTGCATGAAATGGGGTCTTTCAGGCTCAAATTGTGGGAGGTTTCTGGAGGGGGAAAAAACACATTATGATCGATGGCGGTCACAAGTGAACTTAGCGTGCGTTTTAGAGAGGAAGTCGCCAAGCAGAGGCCAGAGTATCCCACAACCCGCAGCTCCCAGAGGATTTTGGAACCCTTTACGTGTGTGTCGTCATTCGTGTGAAAGCCTTCGTGAGCAATGCCAGCCTGCAGACAGTTATCTTCATTTGTTTCTTACATTGAAATCAAAATCGTTCACCAAAGGTGGACTTTGAGAGTTGAAAATGTCCACAAACTGACTGTGGATTGCCATAGTCGCACATTAACTGTTCATCCGTTTTGTTTTCACTTGTTCATGGAGGTTCTTGAATCTCACCGAGAAGCCAAGCCTTGTGTGATCAGAAGTGACACGTTGTGTCAGGTGGAGTTCAGCCATTTATAATTAAAAAATTTTCACCATCTTTCCTGAAATGAATGAACTCTCTCTGATATTCATGAATGAAAACCTACCCAGACACATTTGAGGTTGGTTCATAAGCTGTTAACAATATTGTGGTGCAACTTCTGATCATTCTGCTTAACCACAAACATATTAAGTAAGCAAAAGGTTCAAGAAGTTCAGAGGTCTTCATAATCTTCTAAAGAAAAAGGATCAGTTTAGGGCAGGCTATCGATTCATTTGGGCATAATTTAGTTGTGTAAATGTGTACAGTCAGAGGCGCCGCTAGCAATTTTGGGCGCTATGAAAGAAAATGAGGTTGGGCCCCCTACCGCACCAAACATACACTATATTGCCCAAAGTATTGGGGAAACAAAAAAACCCATCGCCAAACACCAATGACTTGTACATATGCGTACAATCATTTTAGACACTTCCAAAACTGTGGCAAAAAAGATGTATTTTTTTTAACCTTGCCTTATACACAGAGGCATTGTTGTGTTAGAATAGAAAAGGGTCCTGTTCAAACTATTGGTATAAAATTGGAAGCACACAATTCCCTAGAATAGCATTATATGCTTAAACATTAAGATTTGTACTCATGGAAATTACTAAAGAACCTGTTCATTAGAAGGGGGTGTCCCAATACGTTTGGCAATATAGTGTGCAAGCCAGCCTAGCTATTCAAAATCTTTGTCTGCAATTTAATAATATTGACCTATTACTTTTGCTATTGCTTTTGACCATTAGGTATCAGTAACATAATTCATTCAGAACCTGTTTTATGGACATAGACTTTCTGTACCACACTATTCTGCTGATATGGAATGAGTTTGACTACTTAATCAGTTATATTAATAGAAATGCTTCACTGGGGCAAACCAAAAAAATCCTAAAATAATAAATAGGATACCCCATAGCAGCATTTCCAGCAGTATCCATCATTTCTCAATCATGATCTTACTCAGCTAAATGTGACTATTAGCTAAACAGCTGCATTCCTTGTTTGCTAGCTACCTATGCACATACAGCATACAATGTAAAAAATATTCTACATTATGAACCTTAACCCAAAAACCTTTAGCTATACACTGTAGATAATTGTGACCCTGCCTGTGGAAACCCAGCTAAAGTATTTTTTTTTAGACAGTGGATGAGTAATTCACTCATTGATTTGCTTAATAAAAGCCTCCTTTGAGATCGTTTTGAAAGACATGTTTATTGTGTATTATTTTCAACGTGTTTATTGCTAAGTTTAGTGTGGCAAAATAGAAGCGCAGCCGTAATTCGCATGCAGTGTATCCGGTTGCCATGACAACAACCTCACGCGCTTCCTGCTGCTGCTCTATATAATCAGAGTGTGAATTTGTAGATTTTCTATAGCAAAACTAAACCGTTTTTAAAAGTGTGACTGACCAAATCGTCCGGCTCGGTTTGCCCCCCTCGAACTCGAAGACATCTCTAATTTGACAGTTTACCATCTGATCTCACTCGTGACTCTAGGCTACGTAGGACGGGACGAAACCATGCAGCACTAAAAAGAATTGGCTCATATACAAGTGTTCATAAATCTGACTACACTGGCTGCACAGTAAGCGTTACAGACTGTGTGTTCCTCCCTGCCCACACTACATCACGAGCGGGGATACACACAGTCTGTGCGTGGTCTGCTTGGGAGCGAAGTCCCTATCTTCTTCCTCACCTACCAGGTCTGCCCGCTCTCTGGGATCGGAAGCCCGTTCTGCGGTTTCTTCCCCCGGGGAGCGGGCTCGGCGCTCCGCCTATCTTCCTCCGAGGAGAATTCGCCCCCTCAGTCGAAAGATAGACGATTTGCCCCCTCAGTCACCCCAGTATGAAGAGTTGTTGGAGGTGGTTACTTGTGCGGTAGCTAAGTTAAACATCGATAGATGGGCGAGATGTCACAGGCGGGTGACGTAATGACCAGGAAACTATAAAAGCACGTGCAGTGGAACCGGCATCAGCTTTTCTGTCATTCAGCGAAGCGCTCTGTGTTGTGTCAGTCGCATTTTATGTTCTGTGAGTCTTATTTACTGTTGTCTGTCAAAGTAAGCACAATCAGCAACATATAAGCTCCAAATATGTCAAAAAAGGCTGAGAGTAAAACAAAGCATCTGGGCGAAAGTAGATCACGTTATAGATTATGTGTTGCTCCCTGCCCACGCTACATCACAGGCGGGGATACACACAGTCTGTGCGTGGTCTGCTTGGGAGCGAAGTCCCTATCTTCTTCCTCACCTACCAGGTCTGCCCGCTCTCTGGGAGAGCTTTTGGAGGTGGTAACTCGTGCTGTGGCCAAATTAAACATCGCATGGCCCGCCGAGAAAATGGCTGAACCGCAGAAAAGCAAGTTGGATGAGCGGTTTTTGCGAGTTAAGCCACCACCTCCACGCCGGAGCCTGCCTTTTTTCCCCGACTTTCACACAGAGGTGTCGAGGTCCTGGGCGAAACCATTCTCGGCCCGCTTATTCATCCCCGTCTCTGATTATTATGGCAATGTGGCTGGGTTGGGTGAACGCGGTTATAGATCGATGCCCCGGGTAGAACAGACGCTCGCAAGCTATCTGTCTCCCGATGCGGCATCGTCTTTAAACGCTCCGGTCTTGCCCTCCAAGCCGCTGCCAACCACTTCAGCGCTGGTGGGCAAGGGGTACACGGCAGCAGGTCAGGCTGGTGCGTGTCTGCACACAGACTTTCACACAGAGGTGTCGAGGTCCTGGGCGAAACCATTCTCGGCCCGCTTATTCATCCCCGTCTCTGATTATTATGGCAATGTGGCTGGGTTGGGTGAACGCGGTTATAGATCGATGCCCCGGGTAGAACAGACGCTTGCAAGCTATCTGT